GTTTTCTGTACTATACAGAATTTCATCCTTTGGGTTCGTTTGGTTCTCTGGTATGCTACAGAATCACTGCAGGCATTCTGTTTTGTCCATGGAATCTTGTTGTTTTGTGGAGTCCAGCATACTTCTTGGTGCTTATCATTTGAAAAAGGAATGATATCAGAGTGTCCTGATAAAGTATTTGTTTCAGCAGGCATTGGGTGGAATGGGTCACTAAACAATACTGGGGCTATAGATAAACATAGGAGCAGCGTTCATGCAAGAGAAAATTAATTTTATACTGGTAATTCCAAATCTTTGTCTTCAGTGGATTATGCACTGTATGGTGTATTTCCTTACTGTCTTAAAAATAAGAATTTAAAGAGCACGTGGTGAAAGCAGAAAGCAGCTGGGTGCTGTGCAGAACCTGTGGGTGTAAGCAGTGACGTCAAGGAGAAAGCCGTGCTGGCTTCTGAAGCATTACACAAGGGCTCTCCTTTCTTCAGCATGCAGAAAGTGGAACTCCTGTGCTATAATTAGGGTATCTCCGGGGTGTCTTTTTCTTGTTGATTAAGTTTCCTGTGCACTGATACGCTGTGAGGTGGTTGGGCTGTTAGGGACCACGATTGGCACAAGTCTTGCAAACTGTTCACCATGCACTGGTAGCAGCAGAGTGGATCCCACCGGGTTGCTGTGCAGCCCCCGAATGCTTTGCAAACACTTCATCCAGCTGTCAAACAGGAGATGTACTCGTGCTTAATGCTGTCGCTGGCACTTCTTCTGTTACTAACTGTGCAATGCTTTGAGATGTTTGAGGCTCCAGCAGATGAGCTGTGGTGACTGTGGCTGCAGAAGCAGATGCTGCCATCCCCATCCAAAGCAGAGGGAGCAGAATGGAACGTGTGCCTGCGCCCCTGCGGCTCCGCCGTGCCGTGGTGCCAGCACACCTCCTCTGGCAGTTTAAGTGGGGGCTGCGAGGTGCAGGTATGCCTTCTCTCTGTTGGCTCTGCTGTTGGGGCAATGGCACTGAAAGGAGGGCTGGTCTGCTGTTAGATTTATCCCGTTGCTGGAAGATCTGCTAGGGCTGCAGTAGTCGGGTTGTGATCGGGGAAGCGGTGGGGATGATCTGGGACGTGCTGCACATTATTGTGACGTGTGTGTGGGGTGTGGGTGCTGTTCCCGACCCATGTAACACACAGCCTGTTTGTTTGCCTTTTCTCCTTTAGATCCAGCACCTCATTTGGATGTCCATGAAGCAAATAAACAGTTTATGGAGCAGAGTGAAGAGCTCTATGACGCCTTGATGGACTGCCATTGGCAGCCTTTGGACACTGTCTCGTCAGAGATCCCAGCCATGTTATAGCCTCGTTGCTGAGGCGCTGTCTGTGTGACGAATCCGCCGGTGCTCTGTTACTCTGCAAATGGATCCTGCAGGAGTCAGGGGTGGCCCCTTTCCACTCAGGTCTGTTACTGGAAGTACAGGAGGAGTGTGGTGTTCCCTGTGCAACGCCGGAGTGCCGCGGGAGCGCCGTGATAACTTCTGTTGGTGGTGGAAGTCGGAACTGCAGCGGTTTTATTCCTTTTGTCTTGAAGTGAACTCTTAATACTACTTGTAATTTATAAACTTGCATCAGGATGGCACAGGGGAAGGACTGCTCCAACCTACAATAAAGAAGTTGGTCTTTTAAGTAAAATTACCCATTGCTTTTTGGTTCGTGCCCCCTTTCTGGTTTGCTGCCCATTTAACTGTCTTTAGTCAGTTGATCCAACACTTGTCCACGTGTTGGTTTTTAAGTTTTGGTTTTTAAGAGTCACTGTCAAATACCACTAAAATGTCTCAGAAGCTTCCTAGTGACTGGGTAAAGTTGCTGTAAGTTGAGTATGGGAAGGAATCATGTGGATGAAAGCCTATGTTCTGCTGAATCTAAGCTGTGATCTTGAACTAAGCTTGGTGTTCCTAAGCATTTTGGAGAGCAAAGGCAGGAAGGAGTGTCAGAGAACCACTACAGACTGATGCCTTCTGCTTGATGTTTGGCTTGCCTCTCCATCTGTGAGGAAAGAATTCCCCACCAGCCAAGCAGTTTAAAACACTTCTACCAGCAACCTTGTTGAAATGTTACTGTATGTACGATGCCTTTTTCGTTGTTGACAGGCCTCAGTGGCCCCTTTATCATGTTAAGGTTTCACAGCGTCTTCCACTGTCAGAGTAAATATGGTGAAACTGAGGATCTTGCAGCAAAAACGGGTCAGAGCAATCCAATCAATGTATTGTGCAACAAATTGTTGCTGACTTGGAAAGCGGTTTTCTACTGAATGTTGTATAAGCTGGATGATGGACAAGCAATATATTTAAGCGAATATTATCTTGCTTTAGAGGTGAAAGCAAAAATGATAGCACTTATGTACGTGTTATAAGCCCTTTTCAGGCTTTTGTGCCTTAAACTCTTTGAGAAATAGGAAGAGATAAACTACCTGTAATACATGTCTGTCCAAGAAATGGTTTGGTGACTGATTGCTCATGCACAGCAGTAAGTTGCCTCCCTCCCCATATTGATGCAGAGATTTGCCACAGAATTTAAATACTTTCATAAAGCCTACTTCTGCTACACCTTTGTTTGTTTGTGATGTGTTTGTCCGTCTGTGGTCATTTTTATCAACTGCAGTGGTGGACATAACTGTGAACATGAGGAAAACTGTGACCTGCACTGCATTGAACGTATTTCTGGTGTGCTAAGAGGATTCTGCATTCCCATCAGCTGGGAACTTTTATCTCCTGCTGCGCTTTTGACAGCGCAGTGGACCGTAAACAGTGATCTGACCTTCATGTGCTCTGTATTTAAGGCAATGAATGCTCCTGGTGTGTGCTGTAGCATCTCAAGGGCAGCACAGAGATGGAGGAGAGCTCTTTCCCTTTGGTGAAGCTGCTCAGCGGTGCTGAATGCTGAAAAGTGGCATCACTCTACTTGAGAAGCTCCTGTTGAGTAGAGTGGCCGAAATGAGGTGACATGAAGGTTCTTATGTTCTGCTGTGATTCACGTTCTACATCACTGTTGATGTGCTGCAAGAGTGCTGCTCTGTACAGCCTTCATTTTCTCTTTTTGGCCTGCCCTCCCTGCCCCTCAGATTTCAGCTTTTATAATGCAGCCCTCCTGGTTGAAGACAAGCTCAGTTTATCTGTGCTGCTGTTGAAAGGCTGCCCAGCAGTGCTGCCCTGTTCAACGTTCCCTAATACCCACAGCAGCTCTGTTACACACTGCTGACTGACACAGCCTGGTGCTTGCAGGCGGTGGGGAATGAAGGGAAGCCACACTGTCTGAAGGTTATTGCAGAGCAGCTCCCTTCACAGGCAGGAGCCCTTGGGCAAAATTGTTTTGCTGTCTTCTTTTAGATCTGTGGCAGAAAGAACGTTTGGAGAGGTTAGTCTGATGCATCGTTATGGCATCCCCAAGCTTCTGGGATAGCTGTGTGCACACAGAAGGGGATCAGGACAATAGCAGGGCGTTGGGAGCACACATCCATTTCTTACAGTGATGTCAAAGCTGGGAATTACCTGGGAGAGAAGGAGAAGCAACCGAATTGCTCCCCTGCTCAGCTGGGGTGAATGGAAAAGGAGGCAGCTTTTTGTCTGTACCTCATTGTGGGTGGGAGAGGTGCAGCACCAGGCTTCGTGAGGCATGGAATCGTCCTCCCCAGCTTAACTCTGTAGATGTGGGCTTTTAATTGCCATCCTCTTGGGGTTGTTTGTGGGAATTTCAGCCAGTGCTCTGCTGAGCTGGTAATCTCACCGTGCTTCTGTCTGCATGTAATTGATTTATCTCTGTGCTTGTTTTCAGCTCCTGGCTACTATTGCAGCACCTGCAGCAGGGAAGGCACTTTTATGTGGAACTACAAAGCAGCCTCATTTGTGGTGTCACCTGCATTTGTGGTGTTTGTTTTGGAATCCAGGTTGAAGAGAGTGTGGGATTTTGTTGTGGATGGCTAAAGGAAAAGCCCTCATTAACTTCCATTTGGTGTAACACGAGATGAAAAACAAGGACTCCGTGCAGCAAGATGAATTTTGCTTTTATCTTAATGTGCTGAAGGCAAGAAATCCAAGGCAGAGGATATCACAGCTCACTGGGATAATGTAATTCTTGAACACTGCATCAAAATCTGTGGCTTAGACTCAAGCATTCTGCCTTCCAGCATGCAGTGTCTGCTCACAGCTACCAAAGTGACTTCAACGTTCTGATATTATTTGACTGAAATGCAATGACCCAACCTGGGTTATCCTTCAGATTGCAGGAGATGTCAGATGACAACCTGGGTTGCAGAGGCTGAAAACCACACGTTGCCAAGGAGTGCAACAGGCTGCAGGATTCCTCTGAGTGCCATTGGAGGAGTGGAGCAGCTTTGGTCTGATCTTTAAGTATTCTGACTCTGTCCCCTTATTGGCTTGCTAACCCCCAGCTTTTCCAATGAGGCTGGGGAGGAATTTTTACATTCCAACCTCGCTGCCTCCCAGCCCACGTCATAAAACACCCATTTCTGGATTTAACTTGGGATCTACTTGAACGTGAAGTGAATTTGATGTTTAAAAACAGATAAAGCTAGTTCAGCCCTCTGACAAAGCTCTCGTTACCTTTTTCAGATGAGATGATTCAGAGTCCATTACACTTCCTCAGAGTGTACGCATTCACCAATTACACACCCGATAATTAACACAGACACGCCTATCTCAGGTAGTGATTTATGAGGTCTCCAGTCTTCTATTCCACGGTCTCTTCTCCCTCCTAGCGTCCTTTTAGCATCATGACCAACCAACAGCCTCTTACTTCATCCAGCGCTCCTCCTCGCTCCCCTAGATGAACTTTCCTCACCGAGGCACGCTCAGAACTCCTATTACAAGCTATCGGCACCAACCGCATGGAACTACAACTCCCAGAAGGCACCGCGGGAACACCCGTCCTCAGCAGCCAATCAGCTTGCGCGCTGCCGCCCTATAAAAGCCCACGGCGGGCCGCCCTCTGTCTCTCTTTGCGATGGCGGCGGGTGCCTATGGTCGCTGCTGTGCGGGGACAATCCGCCGCCATCCGCCATCTGACGAGGCCCCGCCGCGTCGGCGCCCCGGGGAGTCGGCGGGATGATGTGGTTCCCTCCGTGGTGCGCGATCTGGGCTGCCGTGGGTGAGCGCCCGCCTGGGTTGGGGTGGTTGTGGTTGTGGGGCCCGCCCGGCCCTATCGAAGCTGCGCCTGCCCTGCGCTGTGGCAGCCGCAGTCAAAAAGGAGCCGAGAGCCACGCGTTTTCCTCGACGGTCGCTGCACAGTTTGGTTTTCTGTAACTGCCCAGCAACAAATCGGGAAAATACAGGGGCTGCGGCTCTGCCTGCAGTGCTCTCAGGCACTGATGATAGCAGACCTGTGCTTCGTTTGGAGGGGCGTTGCTGTTCTCTAAATATTTTTCTCCCTAAGGAGCGGTGTGAGATGCTGTTCCTGTCGTCACCCGGTGCAGGAGGCGGTGCTGGGCAGGTGAGCGGTGCTGGGGGTCCTCACAGCTGCAATTGGGAACTCCGACTCAGCTCCACCAGAGCTGCCAGCTTCCCCTCGCTGCTCTACCTAAATTGCTTTTAGAGGGGTGGAGAGGTTTTGTGCAGCATCCCTTGACTCAGAACTGGGAATCGAATCCCAGATCTTCCAGATCCGAAGCCAACAGACTGCTCTGCTTCTGTTGTGTCTGCTGCTCCGTCTGGCTTTTCTAGCTGTAACAGGCCTTGGCCCAACCCACCTGCATGTTAATCCAAGAGCTGTGGTTCTGATATAGCTGCAGGTCTCCAACAACATGCAAGAGCAACAGGAAGGTCTTTGACTGCTCGGCCTCTTCTGCCTGTTGCTGTCACTCACCCCTCCTATATATTTTTCAGCTTCTAGCCAGGGTGTTGCCCCCTCCTGTGAGGGCTCTGGTGGTTTGGGGGCTGGTTGTGTCAGTATTGATGATATCTGAAGCCTGGTGCTGATTTTGGGGGTGTTGTTGTATTGTGTTCCAGGGTTTCTCGCTGTTCGGAGCTCACTGCCTGCCTGCTGATAGACCCAAGGTGAGAGAGTGCCTTTGCCAGAGCTCTGTCCCTCCAGATCCCTTTCCCATCAGATCTGAATACCGATCTTGTGGTCGAAAAAGGAGGAAAAGTAACATTCAGACTGGCCTTGGCCTCTCTGCTGGCACAACCCTGCTCTGAGCAGAGCCAGTTTGAAGACAGACAGTGTTTGCTTTGTTGCCCTGGGGGTGGCAGCAAAACAGAGCCGTGGGGTGAGGGTTTGTGCTCTGCTCCTTCCTTGGGCACTGATTCTTAGTGCACGATGGCTGTTGAACTGGAGATGCCTACCTGGGGCTCTGTTGTCTTTTTCAGGAGCTGCACACTTAGTGGAAGAGTCTGAGAGCTCGTGAGACCCCGTGGAAATTATTGGTGTGCTTTCCTTAAGGCTGAAACTGGAGAAACTGAAGTGGAGCATGTCAGTGTCCCTTGTGAGTAATTGCCGGGCGTTTCGGGGGGGTTGGAGTGAGATCTTGCCAGTGCTTGTTCACAAAGGGCAATGGGAATGGGGGTTTGCAGGTTGGAATTACAGACTTCATTAAAGGTCTGTAATTGGGCAGCCTCATTTGTAGGGCAGAGCTCCTGTGGGATGAGCTTTGCCTATTGTTGCTCCGAGCACAGCCTGGTCAGTGATGACAACCTTTCTTTGGAGACTGCTGGATGAATCCTGCGGATATGGGGCTGAGGCCAGGCTCCAGCATCAGCTGAAGTCACTGCACAGTGTTGCACTGCGCTTCATTCAAAATGAATTCTTTTTTTTTTTTTTTTTTTCCTTTGTTAGGTTTAAACGGCATTCAGACCCAAGTGCCTTCAATCCTGAAGGAGCAGCGTTCTGCACAGCCTCACGGTGGCTGCTGTGTGAGGTGGGAGCTCCCCCAGGTGGGAGAGCTGCAGTGGTGCAGCAGTCAGAGTGCTGTGGGCACTCAGCCTCTGAGGGACGCTGCCAGAGCTCCCATTCAGATGCTCAGTGAAGAAGAATGTTCCTTGCTACGGAGTTTGTCAAAAGAAGAGCTTTCAAGAAGGTCTGGGTAGGAAATATTTGGAGTACGGTGCTGAGGTCTGGGGCTTCCAGCACAGGAGAGATGTGCAGCAAAGCCAGAGCAAGTTGGAGGGGCAGCTGGGTGATGGCTGCCCTCATTGCATCAACGTGTTGGCACACAGTGCTGAGGTTTGGGCACAGCAGATATGCCAATTAATCCTACAGTTCATTCTCACCTCTTCATGCCTTGAGACATGTAGCTCCAGGTATATGATCTCTTAAAGTTTTACTGTTAAGACTTTCCCATTATAGTAGGTAAGTAATTTTATTATAAAATAACGATAAAATACATTTTACAAAATGCACCTGTTTTGTGCTGCCAGTCTGTTAACCTCTGTTGTGTTTGGTTCTCTGGGAGGTAACATGTATGTGTCTGGAAACACAGGTTTAACATCTCTCAGAGGTTCTCAGGGTGCCCTACAGTTGCCATGGAGCTCTGGGAGCAGTCTGGTGTGGCCCAGAGCACCCTGAGGCATACATAGACTGGAGTACACTGGAAGGCCTCTAAGGCACCCTAGAGTGCACTGAGAAGTTCTGGGAGTATTGTGTGCTCCATAGGCATCCTTGAAAGCCTGTAGGATGCACTAAGAGACACAGACAAGCTTTGGGAATCCAGTAGTGTGTCCTGGAGTGTATTGGATGGCCTGGGGAGGTCTCTGCACTGAGGGGTCCTGGGAGTCCAGTAGGACAAACTGGGAAATCAGTGAAGAACCTGGCGTGTGCTGAGGGGCTGCAAGAGGGCTGTAGGGTGTTCTGGGTTGTACCAAGGGCTCCTCAGAGCACGTTCAATAGTTGTAGGACATGTAGGACCTGGTTATCACACGGCATCCCTCCAACTCTCTTTTGCTCTCCTGCTTCCCCTGCTTTTAATTGGGACGAAGGGCAGAAGCTCCATCATGTGAATGGTGGGCTGCGCCTTTCTGCCTTCTTCAGTTTTCTGGAGTTGGAGAATTTTTCCTTTCTCATGAACACGTGTAAAAAAATAACCGAATTGACGATGTGCTTCGTGCAGCCGGTCCTCATGGCGCTGCGCTATGCTGGAAAACACGGAAGCGGAATCTTTTCGTTGTAGCCGCTCTGCGCCGCCAATCTCTATGGTGATTAGTCCTCCAGGAAGTAATGCGCATGCGTCCGAAGACAAGACGGGAGAGGGGGAGGGAATTTTTACACAGCACTGAGGCGCGGGCCGTCAGCCCTCGGCCCCATTTCTTCACATCTCCGCTTCCTTGTTATAAGGCTCGAGCCATCCCCGCTAAAGGGCCGCCTTCACCCCATCTGCCCCTGCGCGAGCCGCGGCACGTGATTGGCTCATCGCCTCCTTTGATTGACAAGTGCCCATCCAGCACTGCGCATGCGCACTATCGACGCGGCACTCCCTGCTGCCGTCTATTGAACAAAATCCGGTACTGCAGGCGCTGCTCTGCGCAGGCGCGGTGGTGCCGAGGCTCTCGCGCTGCGCACGGACGGCAGAACCGCGCAGCCGGTACGTTGGGAGGTGTGGGAGCGGCGGGGACCGCGCAGAAAAGACACGAAACGGGCCGGAAAATGTACGTCGGGGCACCGCTATGGGGGAAGAACACCGCTTCGGTGTGTGCCTCCGCTTACCTGTATGCAGCTCAGCAACGGAAAGCCCCGTTTCCCTCAGTGCCCCGGAACCTGGCGGTGCCACCGGGCTGCACGGGTCGGTACGGGCGGCGCTCACTCGTGCATCCGCGCTTGTCGGCAGCGCAAGGCTCTCAGAGCGCCGTACGGTGCCCCGCAGCCGCCCTGGGAGCCGCCTGGTGCAGCACAGGGGTGAGCTGCCCTGCAGCACGGGGCGCTGGAAATCCTGTGGGCAGCCCCAGGGAGCGTTACGGGGTGCTGCAGGGGCACCGTGACAGCCTTGGAAGCTTGACTGGGACACTGGGAAGGCTGTGGGGCACGCTGAGGGACCAGAGAACCCCGACGAACCTGAGCGCACTTTAACAAAACGAATGGAAAAGCAGCGAACCCGCGCGGACTTCAGCAACAAAGAGTGAAACCCGAGCAGACTGCAGCAATCCCCTCCTTTTGTTGTATCTGTTATTACTGCTGCTTGGTGATAAAGCCTCCCTTTGCCGACTTTGTAATTCCCGCAAAGACGTATCCTTCCATCACTGCTCAGCAACGACGCCACAAAACCTGTCCTTTTTTTCCCCCTACCTTTGAGGATACGCTGTTGAATTGAGGAGAGAGGATGCACAGATCCATCAGTCTGCTTTGTGTGCAGGACAGGGGCAGGGGGATGCAGTGCTCCTCTCTCAGATCCCTCCTCCTCTTATGGACCAAAACCTCAGAACCTGGAGCGACAGTCTGAAATCACAGAGCTGAAGATGTGTGTGTATTCATCCAAACCCTTTGTAACATCACTCAGTGCTGCGCCTGTGTCTCACCCTCCGAACCCTGCGCTGTGTGTACTGTAAAGCAAATGGCTTCAGACCGGTGTAGCAAAACATCCATTGACTTCACCGCTGAGAAAACTTTAAGAGGCAGCTGCTAATTGATGACAATTAGGTGGCACAATTCGATGTTTAATGAAATCATTCCTCTTTTTCCTTCTGCAGCCGAATCAAGATGACGACGGCAGCCCCGCTGATCGGCATTACGCAGCTCTGGGTGAATGTGACCACAAGGTCTCAAGAACTGAGTCTCTATCAAAGTAAGACAAGTCGTGGGGTTGGTTTTTTGTTTTTGTTTTTGCCTGTACCACAAATACCTCGAATCTTTAAGTAGAAAAACAGGCCACTGTGCACTTTAGTTGCTGCATAGCACGTGGGTGCTGCACTTTTTCAGCTTACGACCCCTGTTCCTTCCTTGCCTCCAAGTGCTCCCATCCCAGTCTGTTCCTCTGAATAAAAAGTAACAAAGAGAAAATATTTTAAAAGGGAAGATATTGTGGGGTTTTTTTGTTTGTTTGTTTCTCTATAGCTTTTTAACCTTTGAATTTATCAAATTTCAAACAGAACATTGACAACTTCTCAAAAAAGACTTCATTTTTCTTTCTCCTTCCCTGCTAGGTTCTGGAGCAATAGTTGCTGCCATTGTAGTAGGAGTAATTATTGTTTTTACAGTGGTTCTGCTCATACTGAAGGCGTATAACAGGTATGTGGCTGAGTCCTGTGCTTCAGTGAGGAGAAGCCAGATGAACCAGAATCACTTCTGTGCTCTCATCTCACAGGCTTTCTTACTGCTGAAAATTTCAGGCAGAATCTGAGTGTAATGTGCTTGATGTCCTGAATGCCAGGCTGTAATGGAACGGTTCTTGGCAGAGAATGCTTGATGGATGCTCTTTCTAGGGGGCTTCTGTCAGCATAGGGAAGGCTTGCTGTGAGCAGAGTGGAGCTTGATTTCTCCATCTGAAGGCACAGAGTCGTACACATGTTCTAGGAGCGCTCACCTGCCATCTTCTATCTTTGGAATGAAGTCCTGCTTGATGCTAACTTCCCAATGGCTGTTCAGTTCAGCCTGTTTCCGTGGGAATCTTCCCAATTCTTACCATGGGAGAAAGCACCACAAATGTCAGCGCTGATAAATATTGCATTTCTGCATTTACAGACACATGAGAGGGAAGCGGGAGCTGGAGCCCAAAAGCAGCAAAACAGCAATGCCTCCTTTAGGGCAGAACAGCAGCAGCATTACTCAGCATTGCACAGTGACTTCCATACCTATCCACATGCAGAGCAGATAACTGTGAACGCATCCCTCCCTTTGGAGTTCTTACCACGTGGAGATGGGACTGCTCTCAACAGTGGTACTGCATTTGGAATGGTGATCAGCTCTTAGTTTGTTCTCTGTATCGTCATTTGTCCTGCTTTTTCTCTCGGGAAGGAAAACTGGAAGATCTGAACACTTTCCGTGTGATGAGAATCAAGAGGTGAAGAGGTACAAAGCATCCGAAACGCGAGGAGCCCTCCTTCACAGCTTTGGGTGTGGGAAGATCAAAGAAGCCAAGCTATTCATTTGGAAAAGCCACACACACTGATTTTGTAGAGCTTTTGCTTACTCAGAGTTTAAGCTTTTTCTATCCTGCTATGACTGATGATAAATGGAAGGAAAAATTGGACATGCAAGCTGCATGCAACTCAGGTTGTGCTTTGTTAAGGTTCGGGTGGAACAGGTTTGTAGTTTGTTCTACACGGCAGATAGTGTGGGAAGTAGGAAAACCATATTTATCTTTAGTCATGTTTCTAATACCACGTTTGTATGGTTGTAGACAGAAAAGAATGACTTTTTATCAAGTATATATTGAGATATTTCTAATAACTCGGTAACCTGCTCGTTTCCCAGTGAACCAAATGTCTGAGGATTTTTACTCTCCTGCCAAAATCACCCTGGGTTCGTTACTGCCGTTGCAGTGCTTTCGCTATCTTGAAATCTGAGAAGTTCTTTAACTTAAGTAAACATGAGAAGGCAGCATAAAGCAAGCAAGGCATCATGCACTGCTTTTCTGCAACCTGAAAGGGTTTGTTCTCTGTTGCTGACTAGGCTTGAAATATCGTGAACATTGATTTATCATTTTTTTTTGTTATAGAAAGTCACTGAATGCGGTGATGTTTTCCAAGTGCGCCGACTGTGGGTGTACAGCAATGCACCAAAGACATTCCCAGGGGTGTTTCACAGCCCACTGATGTGAGCACACAGCAGCATTGTGCGGATGCTCTGCGGCTCGTTGTTTAAGGCGTGCATGGAAAAGCATTCGCACAGCTGGTGGATGGGGAAGGTAGCGAGGATTAGGAAGAAGATGAGTTAAACTCTGTTTTAAACAGAGCCGTGCAAAGCCGTGAGAGGCATCTCCGCTTTTAAATCCGATGGAGTCGCTCACTGGGGTGGCTGCAGTGGCACAGCCTGCATTCGGTGCGATTTGTTGTGTGTGGGATGGGAGCTGCAAGCTCCTGCGACCATTAGAGGGCCCCAGTCTGTACAGACCTTATTAAATAACTGTGGGGTATTTAAACTCTTCGGGAGCTGTAGGGAAGGAAGTCAGTAATCGGTCAGAGAAAGCACAGCTTTCCTCGTTCTGCAGCAGCTCCTTTGCTGTTCTTACTGCTGCCGTTGTCTGATCAGTTTGTATCCTTAAATCAAACCAAAGCTGACACTTCTCAGAGCAATAAAGTGATAACTGACAGAAGGGAGATGCTATCGCTAACTCCGAGATGTGAGGGCACCTCTGGCAGAGATCCTTGCGAATAAACGCTGCTTTTCTGCAGGACTAAATTCAATTACTCCGCAGTCTTTTAATGAAACATGACCGGGGCGCGTTCCAAGCTAAATATTAGGACAGCTGCTCGAGCAGCCCGTACGTCCTGCTAGCATTTCACTTCTCCTGGATCTCCACCTCAATTTTGGCGGTGGGAATAACCGATATTATCACGCAGCGGGGGCTGTAGAAAACAATGTGGGTTTTTTGTGGAGTTGCCCTCCTGTTCCTCTTTCTGTGCTGTTTTTGCGTCTTCCGTCGTCAAAACCGAGGTCTTTACAAGAATAAACCCTGCCCTGCACACGGACGCTGCGCGCCCCCTCACCGCTTACCCCCACCCCCCCCATTCCTCACAGCGCCGCGCTGAGGAGGCGCCAAGGCCCGCGCGCATGCGTGAGGCCGTGAGGTCACGAGCCCCGCGCCACTCCGCTGAACTTCCGCATCTCGCGAGAAGATAAACCGTCAACTCCCCGACCGCGCGCCGCGACGGGACGTAGTGCAGCCACCGCGCGGAGGAACGCTGTGCTTTGCGATTGGCCAGTACGGGCCCGCCTACCGATCCGCCCTCCAATCGGGAGGCGCCGAAGAGCCTTTGCGGAGCGCCGGGCTCCACCCCCTCCGTCCCTCTTTGCGTCACGCCGCGCGCAGGCGCACCGCGCTCTCCTCCTCTGAGCGTGCGAGGGGCTCGCGGGCGCGCGGTGCACGCCGGGACGGCAGCGCGCTGCGATCGGGAGGAGGCGGAGGAGCCAAGATGGACGCGGGGTTCTTCCGCGTAAGTGCCGGCCTCGGCGGGCGAGCGAGCTGGCGGAGCGGAGGGCGCGGCCCTGGCGGGGAACGGCGCTGTGCGAGAGGGCCGTCGCCGCCGCCGCGTCGTGCCCGGCTTGGCGCTCCGCCGTGCCTCCGCCCCCGCCCTGCGCAGGCTCCTGTGGAACGGCCGTGAAGAAAATGGCGGCGGGAAGGGAAGGGAAAGGAAGGAGGCCGCGGGCGGCGGGGGGAGCGGCGGGGGCCTTCGGTGCGGCGGGGGGAAGGCGCTAAGAGCGCAGTGAGGCGGCTGTGAGCTTCTGTGGTGCGTGAGGGTATTAACGGCCCCCAGCAGGCGGGATGCGGTCCGAAGGCGCTCACTGAGCCGTTCTTTTCAGCAGCTCTGCGGCCGCCGTGAGGAAATGGAGCGGTATTCTGCTCGGCTCTATTTCTATTTTATCCTTTTTTCTTTTTTCTTTTTTTTTCCATCCGCTGGTCAGCAATGAGCGATTGTTGAGGTGCTTCTTGTAAGATTTGCTGACCGCTATGTCCAGCGCTGTGTATTTTCGCATGCAGTTCAGTGGTCTGAAAGGCACTGATGTATTCAGCCCAATTATTTTCCCTTCCCACAGCTGGGATGCGTGTAGAACACGAGGGGACACGTTTCCCTTTGCTTAGTTCAATTTTATGCTGATCCCTGGCAATAGGGAGGGATCCTGGGATCTTCAGCAACTAATTCCAAATCACCAGCAAGCAGGCCTATCAGGAGCAGGCAGTTTTCCCAGCTGCAGCCTGAAAGCAGAGGCTATGTTCCATGGGCCGTAGGGAGGTATGCTGCACCCTGTTGGGGCTGATGCTATGGGCACCACAACAAGCTCAAAGTGCTAATTAGGAGCTTAGTCAACAGCCACATCTTTGTAAATAAGTGCTTGACCTTATACAGGACCTGACATGGATAGCATTTCTCAGCATAGCCCCACAACCATCAAAGACCCTTTGCAAGAACCCCATGTAACACAGCGCATGTGTAGCATTATATTTTAGTACATATAGCAATTCTAGAAGTAGGCAGCCTCTCAGTGGAAGCTGCATGTGAATACACATTAAGGTGTGTAAGACCTGCCTGCTTTATCGCTCCTGGAGATGCACAATGGGAGGAGCGACCCCCCCATACACAGCACTGCTGGAAGTGCTGTTGCTTTTCTGTCCTCTCACTGGGAGCAGTGAGTTTCATTCCCAGATTTCGGTAACAATGTGGGAGCCTTTTTAAATGAAAAAGTCACCTGTGTGCTAGGAGTTGGGTTCAGGTGAGTTACGTCTGTATGCCCCAGTGGTGCCATTTTACAAGTCTACAGATCAGGTGGTTGTCACTGATGGTGGAATTATGGGACTGAGAGCACCAAATCAGAGATTGAATGTTTTAGATTGGGCTCTCAGAGGTTACTTTTAAACAGAATAAAAAACAACATGGGGCTGAAGCAGGACTGTAAGTGGTGTTTTTACAGTTCACAACAATCTGACAAGGATTACATCTTTTGCTAATGCGTAAACCATGCCATAGATTGCAGATATTACAGGGTAAAACCCAGCAAGTGCCTCAGTGATTCTCCAAGATTCCTGTATTCCAGAGTAGCAAATGGCAATGTTAATAGTTACAATCTGTATTCTGTGCTTGGTAGCTTTGTAGCATATTCTGCTGCTAATTCTAGATACTTTCTGGCACTTGAGTCGCCTTCTCTCATAGGAAATCGCATATAAATTCTGTGGTTTTCATCACTCATTGATTTCCCAAATAAACTTTGTGAATTGTAGGCTTGTTTTTTATTATTAACAGGTTATCATCAGTATTTGAGTCCTTTCTTCTGTTCTGTTTACTTTTTTTCTGCAAGTAAATTTTCCAGAAACAGCCTTCAGTTCCAGATGACTTAACCTATAGTTTCTGCTCATGAAAGTGGAACAAGT